AAGACATTTGTTTACCTTGACGACCATCTGTCTTACCTTTTGAGTGCTTCTTTTCCCACCTGATGGCAGCAACTCCATCGTCTTCGGCGAGGTTACGCCAACCTTAAAATGTACAATTGTTACTCGTTGCTTTRAAGGTACTCATTTGCGTTGAAAGACGATGAAAACGAAAAGAACTTGAAATCTTTTTTTTACACACCTGCACATAGTCACATCGTGTCAAGTTTAGTTCCATCATCTTGAAAGAGATTCTTGATTAAGAAACGCTTAAATTACACAGAATGCCTCTCTAAATTTCTAAGTTACATTTGGACCCTATTTGCGTGGAAAAACGATTAATCAAGAAGACTTTTTACACATTTTCAAATTACTTTTCACAAGCCTCTTCGCTATCTCCGCTTGTTGTTATGCCCACAAACACGTGAATCAGCGGTGTCTCTTGCCTCAGTTTTCCTCGTTTAGACTGATTRAGGGATCCCATGTCTTACTCTCTAAATGTCACAGAATCTGAAAAAAAAAAAAAAAGAAAAAACAAAAAGAAAGAAATATGCTCAAGGATGCTTGTTTAATAACTCTAAAACAGGTAAACAAAAAAATAACTTTTAAGATAGAAATTAAAAAAGGTATATAAACTCACACCCAATCTGAATTCGGTCCTTGGACCTTTAGATTGGAAAACAGCGCCTTAACGAGCTGCGCCATTGGACCACACTCATTTACATAATAATAGACCACTTGACACTTTCGCCGAATAGACTACCCCAATTTGACATTATACTTTCGATAGTTGCCTGGTTAGTGCAAGGGGTTATCCATTAGTGTCTAGGGGCCGGATAGCTTCTCCCTCACTGGCTTTTTAGTTAGCGCGAAGTTAGGACCAATTATCGGGATAGCATGGAAGAGCCGAAATCTCTAACCGGAATGTAAATCGATTCGACGCCTCAGCTTCACAGAATGTCTCGGGGGAATCGTCCCAATCTTTTTCGATGTTTTTGTCATGGGTTCGAGTCCCAACCTGGTCATGTTCTTATTTTTTCTTGTTCTTTTTTTCTTTTTCTTGCAATAAGAATCATGAATCAGAATTTTATCATGAACATAAAAACATCTCAATTTATCCACTAGTATATATTCCGTTCATTATTATAATATTGT